ATTTTAATAAGATTTTATTATAAAAATTTTCAATTTTTCATAGAGAATTTTTTCCATAACTATTTCAATAAAAACTTTTTCAATAAAACTGTTCTTTAATAAAACAAGTCAGGTTCTTTGTTGTGACATTTACTAAAATGGTCTCAACGTTTAGTTGTCACAATTTTTTTATTATTGTAATTATATTAAATATTTTATTTAACTTTTATCCCTATTAAATTTCTTTTTTATTACATAAAGAAGGATAAAAATGAAATTTAAAGAACTAGTAATTCTTTCTTTTAACTTTTTCTTGAATTTCTTTTTTATTATGTTATACAAAAGTACAATAGCCTTAAGGTTGAATCTATTCGTAAATAAATGTTATATTATAAGTCATATTTAGGTCTAAGTCTTGAAATTAACATTTAAAAAAATTAATCTTCTTAAATGCACTAAATTTATATAAAATATGTGCTCTTAGAATTATTTAAAAAGAAATTAATTTTAAAAGATATAAAACTAATTTAAAGACATTCTAATAATAAATACAAGCAGAAAAATGATATAATAAATCTTTCTCAAATCAATAAACTTTTATTCCATTATCTGGGGTGAAGTGTGAGAATGCAACAGAATATGTGCTGCCGGGAGAAGATTATGAGCAAAAGATTATGCGTCTCTCAAGTGAGTGTACAAACCCACCTTATGTTTCAATATTCATAATTTCTTCATTGTCTATTTTCAAAAAAAAAAAATTCATAATTTCATCATCAGCATCATCATTATCATCATCATTATCATCATCATCCCACTGTTGATCAGAGTATCACTATCCTTTTTACAAATAATTCCATAAAAAGATAATAATATAAGAAGATCTTGATGATTGAAGGACAAAATTGATCAAAAATTTTAGGATAAAGCTACGTTTACCCTCCTCCGTTACACCCTCCATTACACACACCCATCTCCGTTACTTTGTCGTTAACGCCCAAACACCCATCCTCACCATCACCGCCACCTTCTTCCTCTCCCTTCATCCCTCACCATCACCGCCACCTTCTTCCTCTCCCTTCATCCCTCACCATCACCGCCACCTTCTTCCTCTCCCTTCATCCCTCTGTTTTCCCGATCATTCTTCTTCTTTCCCTCATCTCTTTCTTTCTTCTTTTTTTTTTTCTCTCTCTCTCACACTCTGGAGAACCCAGATCGGGTTCTCCGAGAACCCAGGGTGGGTTCTGCGAGAAGAACCCGATCTGGGTTCTTCAAGAGAACCCGATCTGAGCCGAGTGGGTTCTCACCAGAGAACCCAGCTCGGGTTCTCCGGTGGGAACCTGAGCTGGGTTCTTGAGAACCCGAGCTGGGTTCTCAAGAACCCAGAGAAAAAAAAAAAAGAAGAAAGAAAGAGGTGAGGCTCCGTTAGTGTACTTGACGAATTCCGTTAATGTGTGAATAGATGTGTAACGGCAGAGGGTAAGCCTATCATTGTCCAAAATTTTATTTAGTGTTCAAGATTATTGACGGGGGCATCAATTTATTAATTTATGTATGATTAGATATATTTATTTATTTTTAATTTTGAACCAAA